CCATGGGCACATACGCGGGACGCCTTGCTGCCCCGTGGGGACCCCCAGGGGATGCTGTGCCTTGTCCCCCAGCCCCGTCCCCCCCATCCCTCTTGGCAGTTCACAGCCCCGGGGCACAGCAGAGCCTCCCCAGCCCCAAATCCTCCAGGTTTAACCCCGTTTTCCCTCCCCACACAGGTACCTTGGGTCTCAGCCTCTCCCCATGCAGCGTCCCGGGGTCCAAGCCCACCTTCCAGCTGGCTGACGACGAGATGGAGCTGGGTTTGGGTGAGAAGACGCCCCCCCAACTGCCCCACGTCCCCGCAATGTCCCAGTTGGGGCTGCGTGTCCCTTGTCCCCCCATGGGGCACCACGGGGAGGTGCCCACAGCACGGGGTGATGCCGCCCCATCTCCGCAGGGATCCACGGCGAGGCGGGTGTGCGCAGGATGAAGGTGAGCGGAATCCCGCTGTCCCCCCGCCACCTTCTGCTCCCTGGTTCCCCCTTGCTCTGCCCTCACCGCCCAGGATGCTGCCGGCGGACGAGGCGGTGGAGACGATGCTGGCGCACATGACGGACCCCTCCAACGCCTCCCGCTTGCCGCTGAGCCCTGGTGAGCCCCCCCCGGCCCTCCGTGCTCCCCCTAGACCTCCTGGGCAGGGGTCTCATTCTGTCCCTTGCCCTGCAGGAGCCTCTGTGGTGCTGGTGGTCAACAACCTGGGTGGGTTGTCCTGCCTGGAGCTGGCCATCGTGGCCGGCGCAGCCGTGCGCCACCTGGGTGAGCACGGGGGGACCTTGGGGCACTGTCCCCTGGCTTTTTTGCTCCTGGGGACCCTTCCTGCAACACCCCCTCTCATTCATGGACGCCCCCTACCCGCTATGCCCGCAGAGAGCCGAGGTGTCCGCATCGCCAGGGCCTTGGTGGGCTCCTTCATGACGGCGCTGGAGATGGCCGGGGTGTCCCTCACCCTCATGTTGGTGGATGAGGAGCTCGTGGGGCTGATCGGTGAGCGCCTGCCGGTGGGGACGTGGCACGGGACGGGGGCGCGGGGGTCCCCCAGGTGCTGGGTGACGGGATGGCCGGTGGGGACACCAGGTCCGGTGGGGTGTCCCGAGGTGTCCCAGAGCTGGATGCCTGGCTGCCTGCACAGGCAGTGCTGCCGGCCACGCTGGCGAGGCTCCCGCAGAATCCAGCTGTGCCGGCGCTCGCCTCTCTCCCACCTCCTCTTATTCCAGATGCTGAGACCACGGCCATGGCTTGGCCCAACCTGGCCGCGGCACCTGCGACGAGCCAGAGAGAGGAGGTGCCGGCACCGAAGGAGGGACCAGGGACCGCGCAGAGTGAGACCAGCGCAGGTACGGGCAGCCCCGGAGAGTTTGAGTCCTCCAGGAGCCATCACCTCCCCGTGCCTCAGTTTCCCTGTCTCCCTCGGGGATGGACAGGGGTGACGTCTCTTCCCTGCAGGACCCGGCGCAGCGCGGGCGCAGCTGGTCCTGGAACGGGTGTGCAGCACCCTGCTCGACATGCAGGACAAACTCAATGAGCTGGACCGCGCGGCGGGTGACGGGGACTGCGGCCACACGCACGCCCGGGCTGCCCGAGGTGGGTGCTGGCACCCTGGGGAATGCCGGGG